TACTGTATTTACGTATAATATGAAAGGTTGAGGAAAATGTGGTTACCTGCCAAAAACACATTAATATGTGAAAATTTGCTAGAAAGTTTAGATTATTAAGGTTAGTATTACTTAATTTTCATTATACATCAAGAAATTGGAAAGCAAGATTCAAATAATAAATCATTAGCTTTGAAGTTGTTTGACTATGATGTGGTAAAGTACAATGTTAGTAGAAAAAGTAATCTTTATGAACGTGAGATAGACCAAGAGCTCTTAAACAGCAAAACTATAAACCATAGACAACACACTGAGAACAAATAGAAAGGAAAACTGAAGCTTTTTGGAATATGCCATTAAAAATATAAATATGTAGACACGAACTGGCTAAAAATATTTGTAATAGACATATATGACAAAGCATTTGTATGTAAGGACCAAAGGATTGTATCATTGCTCAGTGATAAAGAAAAATAGGGGAAATATTTAAGTTTTCCCCTTACAAAGCAAGATATATTCATGGTCAATAGACAAAGAAAATGATGCTGTGTGTCATTAGCCAGCTGGAGATGTGACAGATAAAACATGAAATTCCACATGCCCATACAACAGCTAAAATCACAAAATAATAAAATACTAAAAAGACTAGTATTACAATGCAGATAGAAATGTAAACTGTTACAAAACTTTTAGCAAACAGTTGTCTAAAAAAAGAAAAGTTATCAGTGTCTCCTATCATTAATATTGTATCAAATATACATTTAGCACAAGATCCAAAAATTTCAGTGCTATGTGCTCATCTAGAAAATAAAAATACTGCTCCACAAAATTGCTGTACAGTCAGCAAATGTCATTCATAATTGAACCAAAGTGAAAGCCACACAAATGCCACTCACCTATACATATTTTGTCTTACCATGAAATCATATGGAGCATTTAAAAATCATGGGCTAAGGGCCAGGGGTATAACCCAGTGGCACAGCACCTGCCTGCTAAATATAAAGTCGCAAGATTGTGAGTTTGATCCCCGGTACCAAAAACACAAAACAAGCGAACAAAACCAAAACTAAATAGACTATAAATTTCAAAAATTTCAAAACACAATAAATACACAATAAATTTCAAAAATTATTTTTTCTGGGTGAAAAAAAGCCAAATTCAAGTGAAGCCCTATGTAGATTTTCATTTCAAATTTTCCACATGAAATTTGAGAGAAAAAGAAGAAAAAGCAAACAAATGAAATTTAGTAACAAAAAGGCTCCCTTATATTTCCTGAGGCCAAGATTAGGGTGAATTCAAAGCTACCTAAAGTAACGTTGAGGGGAGATAATAATGTTCTGTATCTTGATTTTCGTGGTGGTTGGGAATGCAAGTATATTCTATAAAACTCTTACAACTACACAGTTTCAATAGTCACATTATACAATAGATATTTTATACATGTATCATTAAAATTGCCAAGATGTTTAGAGCCAAATATTGAGATTTCTGTGTGCTGGTAAGCGCTCAGTTATTGTAAGAATACACCTGAGACAGTGCACTTAAAGGAAGAAACTACATTTTGGCTCATAGATTTAGAAGCTTCAGCCCTGGTCAGTAGGTCCATGCTCTGGGCCTGTGAAGAGGCAGCACATCCTGGGGGGGCAAGTGGTAGAAGAAGTCACACACTTCATGGTAGCGTGGAGTGCAGGAGAGAAGTAGGAAGAGCCAGGGTCCCCCATATCAACTTCAAGGGCACAACCAATTTGACTGGAAGACTCCCAACTAGGCAGTACCTCTTAACGGTTTCACGACTACCCAGTGGCATCACTGATTTGGATCAAGGCTTTAACACATGCCCTTTGGCCAATCAGTAATATAGAAAAATTACATTCTAAAAACAGCAACAACTCCTTGACAGCAGGTGTTCAGTGAAATATGTCAGACACACAAGTTTTTTTTTTTTTTTTTTGTCCTTTTCCTTTTTATCTGTACCAGAGATTGAACTCACGACTGCTTGCTTGCAAGGCAGGTGCTTACGCCACTGAGCTGAATCCCCAGCCCCTAAGACACACAAGTTTAAATATCACACATTTTCTCTTACATGAGGAAGCAAGTGTATAAATAATTGAAAGATAAAAATAAAAAGATAGGAAATAAGAAGCAGAGAGATTTACAAAAGAGATGAGGACCAGGAGGAGGATGGAGTGGGGAGGAAGGTAAGCAAGGGAAATGAATAAAGATGTGTGACGCACATATAGCAACTCCACACAATGCATGTAGTTTTGTTACTGCGAGCACATACAAATAAAATTTCTTACACAAAAAATAGTGAATAGTTTCACCAAAACACATCAAAATAATTCTGTACAAGTATGAAAAGGGTGTTAGAGTCATGGAAATATCTGTGAAAAACTCTAAAAGAAATTACAGTATTTGTGAAATAATACTTTAAGCACAGGAAAATCGTTAAGTTTATATTGTTCATTCTCTTTAGTATTGGAAAGAAGCCGATTTGTTGGATTTACAATGAAAGGTTAAGAATAAGGACTTTTCTAGATTTCAGATAAACCCTTGGTCATATATCAAGAGCATCTAGTGCAGTGTTCAGTGTATAGCAACTCTCTGTTGTGCTATGTGAGAACTGAGGAGATTCGTTCGGTTGAGACACTTGTTTCTTTATGTAAAACATGTTTTTTATTTTCCATTTTGATTTATTTTCACGTTATTGCAAACAAATATTTTCAAACCTATGAAATGTAACAAAAGAAGAAGAAAACATAATTCTAATAAGATATTTCACAAAGAAAACATGAACTAATGTGAGCTTTTAAAAATCTGAAAAGTAACAAAGTATTATATCAATTTATATTTTGATAGATAATTGCATCAATATTTATATTTTTGAAATAAAGGGCATATTAACTAAAGTATGAATTATGACTAAGACACCCAAAAGACTTGCCATGATTTTATCTAAAAGGACAAACATACTGGAATGACATCTAAATTGCAGATCACTGAAAAGCAAATGGGAAAACAATAAGGTGAAAATGAAGATGCTTTCTTTTGATTTTTGTTACATTTTTCTGAAGTGATAATTAAGTGCAGTTTATCAGATGTTGTCATGTGAAATTGATTTGTTTTTTTGAAGCCTTCACCTGAAGATAGTCCAAGAGCAATAGTTAAAGTGTCACACTATAAGATGAATTTGAAAGTTAAAGTCAGAACAGTTTTCTCTGAGAATGTTATTCATAGAATAAATATCAGGAGAGGCAAAGCTTGGAGTCTGTTTTCTAGAGTCCTTAGAATTATACACATTTATTTCTGAGAAATCCTATAAAAAGTTTGCTATGAATCTTGATTTAGAATTTATCACCTTGTGAGAATTCAAAACCTTTTATATACAAAAATGTGATTCAGACTTCACAATTTTTGCCACTGAATGTCACTGCTTCTGAATATGTGGTTTCAAAGAACATGATGCTTTAATAAATTTTGTATGATTTCAATACTTCAGGTAAATGTCTGGTAATTCAACTATGTCCAGACTGTTTCTGTCAGTTGTGTAAGTTTCCATGAGAAATTTCATACTGAGAAAAACAGTTCAATAGTCTTGTTTTCCATTGTACTTTATATTTCTACAAAAAGTTGCCTTCATGTCTTATGTTTGAATAATGCAATAAACTAGGATGAAAGACTTTATTTCTGTGTTGTGTCATAAAATCATATAATCAGGGTAGGTAATTCATATAATTTTCTAGTTTTGATGAAATAATTGGCTAGAATCTCTGGATGTATGTAGAAAATGAAGAAAAATAAACAACTCACCTAAATTATATGGTACATGTGCTTCCGGCTTCCATTAGCAGATTAAAAACGTTACTCATTTTTTACCTGAAAACCTCCTGTGGAGGTTCTAACTTAATGTTCAGACTTACAATAATTTCTAAAATAAAACTGGTATGCAATATATGAAAATCATAGTGAATACTTTGTGAATATAGTTCTTATCCTTGTTTTCTATACACGAAAATCAGAAGTAATCTCATCCTGATGGTTAGCTAAAATGAGTCCATTTAGTTAAATGATTTAAAAATTCAAATATTAGGAAACTCTAGGGCTTTGCAGCTGTTGGAACATCTGCTGGACATCTACAATTGAATATGTTCTTTTTTGGAACTTAAGTCAGCCAAATTTGTCTATTTGTTACCTTATCTTAAGCTTAAATCATTCTTTTAATTTTTACTGCAGTTTTCTCCCTATATTTCTGTGTATCTAGACTTGCAACAAAGCTGAATAATGTAGACATGCATTGTTCTTTAGTGCTTTGTTTCTCTACTGTGAAAGAATTTCCCTGAGAAAATGATTTACAATATAATGAAGTGTCTTCTCTTGTTGCCTATGTTATGAACTTTTGTTTGCTTTTAGTAAAGCATCTTAAAAATGAACTTGTATTCATATATATTATGTGAGAAATTTTAACTGGTTATATTTTTAAAGGATTAGGACACCATTAGCAATATTCAAATCTTTGTATCATGTTTATGTAAATTTAAAAGTGTTTTTGTTTAGCAAGATTTTAAATCTTTTTATAGGTATGGGCATTTTAAAAATTTAATATTTCTTCAGTTTTTCATTGCTTATTAATGTCAGGGATTATTAATAATGGAACAACTAGGTTCAATACTTTAATTTCCTATATAAAAAGTATTTGATATATGTTTGAAAATCAGCTTGAAAGATATTGAAACAGCAACATAAACAATCATTCTAAGTATAGATTAATTTCCAAAGAAAAGGTAAAAATAAAAATTAAACAAAGGTAATATTAAATATCACCCTTATACAGAGAGCAGCCAATGTACTTAGTGAAATGCCCTTAGAATGTGCATAGACCTGACAGTCTAATATCCCAGGCAGTTACTGCTGCGTAAAGAACGACTCATTGTATAATCATGATGTGACTTGTATTCTAAGGTAGGGATAATAGAAGTGGCTGACAAAGGACTCTCTTATATGCAGTTGTGCTTCCTTTTCAGAGTTCAGACATGAGCCCTGCGAGCAGCACCACTTCGCTTCCTGTTAGTCCTCTTGCGGAAGAGCCAGTGCCTTTCAAGGTAAAAACTAAACAAAAAAGCATTAGTTTTTAATATGTGTAGGTTAACAAAGAGTTTATTTGATTTTATTTTAAAGGAAAAAGAAACACAGAAAAATCCAAGATCAAACAAAAAAATCCCAAAACAACAAAAGCACAACAATAAAACAACAGTGTTACAGGATTTTATATCACGATGATAGGAATTTAACAATATTTGTTGTATTGCATATTATTATCTTCAAAATAGTTGCTCAGATTACCAAATACAGGCCAAAAACTATACTCTTTAAGTGAAACACATCAGAATTACATTGTCTGACAAGTGTAAGAAATTGAAAGAACAAAGAGTTTAAACTAGAAAAGTCATTCATGGAGAGTAAGGTGAGAAGTTTTAATTTTAAGGATCTGCTTTTGGATACTCATTTTCTTTTTGCTCATTATCATTGTATTAAAAACCAGAGGTAACGGGTTGAGATACTTGAAAGAATTGTCTTACTTGTGAAATGTAGATGTTTTATTGTAGTAATTTGATCAAATGAACTAGGGTTTTCCCATCATTTTTCTATTAGTAAAGTCATTATTTTAGAATGAATCATACGGCCTTAATCAGCAGTTGTATTTTCATTACAAACACTAATTATCAGTGACATTTTTATTGTAAAATAACAGTCAACATCAGTCATTGAAATATCAACTCATTCTCACATATTTAATAAGTAAATATGCAATTAACTATTTACTTGGTATAACTAGTCCCATTCATCAACAGGAAAGGTTATTTATATTACAAATATAGCATCTCATTTTTCCATTTAAGATTAAATTAGATGTTTCATTTTAAGGCAGAGTTTGAACATCAGCTATTTATATTTGCATCAGGAATGCTGGATATCATTAAGTTTCTTATAAATAAAAGTAATCCGTAAGAGCATGAGAGGAAAAAACTTAAAAAGTTTTTTCACTTATGTGCAGTTGTTTCTATACAGTTTGACTTAAAGTACCCTCAAATGATGCACCTTCTGTTTTTATGACCTTCATGATTGTTGAATTTTGTCACATAATTGTGTTTAACTCCTTTTCTATATAAAGACTATATTTACTTCACTTTGATTTATACCTAATACATTGAGTGCCATGGATATGCCTGTACTCAGTATTTGTATGTTGTTGAAATGAAAATTATGGAAGCTGTCAGTTCCATCAAAAATCTTTTTCTAGTTGCGAATGGTTTATCTGTTTATTGATAGAAATAATTGTTAAAAACACTTCTAGATATCAAAGAACAGTTAAATAATGAACAGCATTTTCATGACATTATTTACTGAGAAATATTTCATTATTTTATAACAAAATAATCTAATACTAAAGTGTCAAAGTTTAATATTACCTGATACTTACATTTTATGATATAAAGCAAAGTTTACAGAAGAAACATCTCTATCAAGAATTTAATAAAATTCTCAAAACATCAGGATAAACTGCATTCTCCTTTTAATGCATCAATGATGAATACAACCCTTAAAGGTTAATGGATATTTAAATAAAGATAAAAAAGTCAAATATATTCCAAAATCTGCTGACATAAAGCTAATAGAAATGTAATTCTAGTTAGATTCTTTAACTGGTATTAGAAATCAATATTGTTTTTGAGTTAATGTATGTAAGTGGTTTTTATAAGCAATTAAAAGTCTTAAGTGCTTGTAATATATAATATTGGTTTTCAGTGGTTAATATACTTGTCATTACCTTAAATTACTTCTTTTGTGAAAAGAATATCATATATATATATATATATATTTTTTTTTTTTTTTGGTCTTTTTCGTTTTTATCGGTACTAGGGATTGAACTCATGACTGCCTGCTTGCAAGGCAGGTGCTTATGCCGCTGAGCTAAATCCCCAGCCCCCATTTATATATTTTTTAACAATTATCATATATAAAATCATCCCAGCAATACTTAAAAATATTTGGAACTTATATTTGGAAATTATAATTTGAAGCTCCAGTATTTCCTTCTTTTATCTTTAGTTTATAAGTTATTATTCTGTAAATAAGTAATATACTCATGTATTTTTATTATCAGAAAATATAAGGAAAATATTTTGAGTTGTACAGCGTGATATAATTTCAAAATACTGTTAAGAAATACTGGAGACATAGAAACCAGTTTTATTTTTATATCCATAATGGGGGGAAAACCTGATGATATAATTTCTATAGGCCTAAAACTTCATTTAAAATTATAAAATTTCAGTAACATTGTAAGTATAAAAACATGTCATTTTTTTATCATTCCCTGTGAATTTAACTTTGTAAGACATAGTGACTGCACAAATCTATCATGGCTGACCCTACTATTGGAATAGCAAAGCCTGTGGAAGATAAACATTGTTGATTAGTTGAGGAACTTGATTTTAAAATACTAGGATAAAAGTATCCTTCCATATTGCTGGTCTATTTTGGACAAACTCATAGAACACTTGAAGAATAATACCTGATTTTGGTCTAAGCTTCTATCGAGATCAGTATTTTTTATGCACCATATTTATTTTATTTTATTTTTAAATAAAATAGGACAATGTATGTGAAGATGGAGAAGGAGATGGGGAGAGACGAGAGCTGCTCTGGACAAGTAGTACAAACTTGCAAGTGAATCTTTCCTGTGCAGCATCTCTAGAATCACATTCAGATTAAATTTATTTCTATCAGTCAGTTTGAAATAACCTCACACACTAATATTTATACTTTTATTCTTGACTTGAATGTTATATGAAAAATTGGTCATTGCAAAGAATCTCTCAATTAAATCTATTAAATTAAAGACAAATAAAACTTGGATTACATTATGGGAGAGATTTTCATTTGGGAAGTAGGTTAAACTTTGAGGTACAAGCATTAATGATGACAATTAAATTTTGTTTAGGACCAGATTATTCTTTTTCCTAGTAAGTTTTGTGTTTCCAACTTTATTAATATTGGAGTCTATTCTCTATCTTAAATGAACTCAAATCTACTCTGAAAGATATTTTAAACCTCCCATACCAATTTATGTTCTGTTGTCTCCACACAATAATTCAGAAGCTTGCTAAACTTTTGTTTACTATTTAAACCACATTTCTGTATGTGGTTTCTGTATGAGTTCTGTATAAGTTTCTCAACTGAAACTCAATTCAATCTTGAGTAGGCAAATGGAAGATTTGAAAACTAGAGCAGAGTTTGTCCATCAGGACAGGACACATATACTCTAGTTCACTTCAGTCATCCCTGTTTACTGTTGTAGGAATATTGTGTATACTGGGCAATGACAGCATTTGAGTGTATCTTCCATATATTATGATACATAATCCCCAGGCCTTTCCATATACAAGCAATCAAATCACATATTTTCCAATCAGTCTATTGATCCTGAGAAATTTAAGGATTCCAAGTTTGGTAATTTCAAAAACATAGATTTAGAAGCAAAAATGGCAAAGTGTACTATGTGTTTTCATGGTGTTCAGTACATATGTGCTGATATGCTGATACATCATTATGGATGCACCAAGGAACTGCCAGTTTTATGTGGAAGGAAATAATGTGACATCGCATATCTACAATACAATCACAAATGTTTGCGATCATTCATTTAAGTAAACAGTGGTGCTTTAACAAAACAGAAAATGAATTAACTATTAGATTTTTATGGTTTTCTGTCAAGTAATATTGAACAGAGTTCTAAGTGTTTTTTGTTTTTCTTTCTTTTTCAAATTTTATATTGGTTATCTAGTTGAATGGGTTCCATTATGACAATTTGTACTTGTATACAATTTGTACACTTGTACAATTTGTACATACATTAACCTTTCTCCCATTACTCCATTGTACCACTCTCCCCCTTAGTTTCATATTTGATTTGAAGTAATTTATTGTACAAAATATAAAAATAATGTATTTTGATCCTGTTCCTTCTCTCATTACCTCCCCTTATGTCCTCTTCCCTTTTTTCTCTTCCTTTTGTCTGCTAATAGTGTCCCTTTTACTTTCTTATAATCGTTTTTTGGAATCCTCATATTAGGGACAGTACGCAGTATTTGACTTTCAGAGTCTGTCTTATTTCACTCAGTGTAATGATTTCCAGATCCACATTTTGTCTGTAAATGACAAAATTTTATTCTTTTGTATGGCTGAAAAAAACTATCTATCCATTGGCTGTCTGTCTATCTATCTATCTATCTATATTTTTCTAGCCACACATTTGGTAATTGTTTAGTTCCAAGTGTTAGGATGGTTTCCAGTCTTGGTTATTCTAATTTGTGCTCTAATAAATATGGGCATGCAGATGTCACTGTGGTGTGCTAACTTTAATTCCTTCAGGTATATTCCAAGGAGTAGTATAGTTAGTTCAAATGGTAGTTCTAGTTCAGATTTCTAAGGATCCTCGGTATTGATTCATAGAGACTTTACTATTTTATATTTCTGCTAGCATACATACCTTCACATACTCACCAGAATTTACTATTTTTTGTGTTTTTTATAATAGCAATTATCACTAGATTAAAATGAAATGTCAATGTAGTTTTGATTTGCATTTCCCTAATGGCTAAAGATGTTGAACAATTTTTCCATATACTTATCAGCTATTTGTACTTATATTTTTGAGAAGTGTCCAATTGTTTTGCCAATATATAATTGGACTATTTTATTGTTTGTTATTAATTTTAAATTCTTTATATTCCAGATATTGTTTCTTTCAGAATAGTGGCTGGCAAAGATTTTCTTCCATTCTGTAGATTATTTTTTCACTCCTGATTATTTCCTTTGCTGTGCAGACATTTTTGAATTTGATGATTCTTGCTATTATTTTTTTCTGCACTAGTGGAATCCTTAATGAAAATGCAATGTAAATATCAAAATCTTCAGGATATATCAAAAGCAGTTGTAAAAAGAAAGTTTAAAGCTAGTAGTGCCTATATCAATAAAACAGAGAGATCTCAAATAATAATGATTCGTATCAGGGTATGGAAAAAATTAAGAATAAATT